AACTCAGCCACCCCTAGGCTACCAGTTTAACAACGATCCTAGGACCAGAAAAATGCCGGGCAATGGAATCGCACGATCATCATACACAACACGGGGGTACATTGAATTTCAAATATGCCCAGTTAGAAAATGCCTGCGTCGTGATAGTGATCGCGGTTAACGACTTCCCTCAGTACTATCTCTGAGAGATTGTTAATTTTTATCCGGGCTATAGGCACTACGAAGGAGTTCCAAGATATGTAAAGGGGCAGGTCAACTTCGTCATTTTTGCTGAATTTGTGAAGTTGAAGTTCCTTTTGTGTCCAAATGCGTGCTGGACTGTAAATAGGGACTCTAGAATACTTTTATATGAATCAGCTCGGCATAAGGTAGATTCATTTATATGAAAGAACATTGCAGAAAGACCCCGATTTCATACGACGTTCCACAAAATTTGCCAAATAAATTCCGTGATTGAGGTGTGGGAATTTTTCTTTGATTTCTATAATAGAAAAATTGTAAGGTAATGTAGAAGGCGATTCAGCATCAAAAAGTGCCGAGCGTTGACAATGCTTGGAGTCTGATGTCGTTTACCGTATCTGAGGCAGTTGCGCATGGAGGAACAGCGTCGGAGAAACTGGGAGGTTACTCCGGACACGCATAGCTGAGCACTCAGCAGCGGTCAGGGGGAAAGACGACAGCTCTCAGGTGGCACGAAACGCGGTCATATATTTAGGAGGTCGACATCCTCAAAAGAGCTGGCAACCGCGTGAGCCGCTAACTGCTCGAAACGTGGTTCGTAGGCCGGCAATCTATCGATGCAAGGCGCGCGTTTCGAATTTGGTTTCAAATGTTCGCTCTCCGAGGAATTTAGTTACTTCGAGATTTGGACTTACTGTACGCTCTTAGAGCTTGCCGGAATTTAGACTTGAATTCGACTCATCAATATCTTACTCCCAACTACCCTAGTAGTATTGAATAGCTACCTGATGCACTGCTATAGCGGAAATCTCGCGATAGGGCTATCTCGTCACCTGATTGGTCAGCGGGTTCATCGATTTCTCACTATCATTGGCTGGTGCGCTTGAGCTACCGGTGCTCCCACGCCGCATGCGCGTCGCCATTATTGCTTGCGTATCGCGTGTGGCGTGTGCTATCAACTGCTCTCTGCTGCAATCTCTTATACCCTTTTTTGATTCATTAACCCATCCTTTTTATTGTTCAAATGTTTAGGCAAGAAAGTAAACGCACTATTAGGCGGCATGTGAAGAAGAAGATCGCGGAAATATCAAAGGAAATAGATGCAGAAGTGGATCTGCTCCTTGGCGGTAGCAAACGTTATCGAGCGGACAGTTCAGACAGCGAGTCGTCTGTTGGTAACCCAGTAGACGTTGGAAGTGGGAGCCTTAGCCCGCCAACGCCATTGTTAGGTGATCTGGCATCTGCTGACAGTGTTGCTTGGGCGGACACTCATCCATAATGATGACGTGCCACTTAGTGAACGCATTAGGACAAGACTGCGTGATTGGGCTTTGCAATGCCGTATACCGCACAGTCATTTACGGAGTTTGTTAGACATATTGCGGATGGCAGTCCCGCAATTGCCCGAAGACCCTCGTACACTGTTGGGAGCATCGTATAACTTGCAAGTAGTCCCCATGGGTTGTGGGGAGTACGTTCATGTTGGGCTGCAGAAGCAACTACGCAAATTAGTTGATAGTGAAATCGTAGTCGCGGACAATGAAGAGATGGTCGTGAATCTAGCTATTGATGGTTTGCCTCTATACCGCAAGACGAGGACTGAACTGTGGCCCATTCTAGGTCGTATCATGAAGCCTGCAGCACATTCCCAGAACTCCGATTTCGGCCTTCCTCGTTTCTCATACTTGAAAGCCCAGAAAGTCGGATTATCTGAAGAACAATTTATCCAAAGTTTCTACAAAGGCTAAGTCGCTTTTCTACTATTAGACATTGTTTCTTCATCGCCTCAAAGTATTTGTCTAAATTTTTGCTCTCAGAAGCTTCTCGACCATACCTTCCCATTAGCTAATGAAGTTACTATCTACCGAAAGATCGTCATAAAGGCCTTTCCTTCTTACTTAACTCTACGCTCTTTGTGTATATAGAAAAGTTATCCAGAATGTTGAAGTCTGCACTACCCTGCCAGCACCAGCCCCGCCTGGCCCCCTCAATAATGGCGGGGCTAGAGGAGGCTATGAGGGGGCTAGGCGGGGGCTGTGGAGGGGGCTGTGGAGGGGCATGCAACGCGATAGCCCCGCCTAGCCCCGCCAGCGAAAAAAATGCGCAGGGGACGCCACATCCCAGCCCACTTTTGGCACCACTTTAAAATATCGTCCCCATTGTCAAATATACGAATTAATAACACACACAGATTGTAAACCGGTGGACAAATAAGAGTTTAAGCAATGAGGGACTTAAACAAAACCTCAATATATTGTGCTCATCCGCAGCTACATTCAGAGGGCGTAAACGGATGCTTTCTCCATGGTTTATAAGCCAATTTTGATAAATTAGCTTCTTTAAATTCCAAAGAAGGTACAATAAGTGGTGCTTTTGGAACATATCTTTTGATGCAAATACGCTTCAAAAGGCTTCAATCCAGAGGGGGCTCTGGCCCCGCTCAGCCCCCTCCAGCCCCGCCTATGAAGGAGCCATGTGCTGGCAGGCGGAGTTCTGGCCCCACCCAGCCCCTTCCAGCCCCGCCTATGAAGGGGCCATGTGCTGGCAGGGTAGTGTTCCAAAGCAACGCGCACTTGGGATTTGAACCGGGGACGTCAAAACTTAGGGCTCGCTCCGCTAACCCCTACACCACCAACGCACGGCTGGACAGTTCAGTTAAAAGCTTTGTTAATTCGTCACCGCAGGATCTGGTAGGATATTCATGTAATGGTTGTCAAACGATAGCCTACAAGATGCATCAACTAGAGGAAGAAGTAAGAAATCTGAAGGAACTTATACACAAGACTGTTCCTTCAGAGGACCGCCCGGTGTTATCTACGCAGAGGCTAACTCCGAGTAGAGCGAGAGCCATCCAGCGTAAGGAATCCCCAGAAAGCAATTATGGGGTGAATAAGACAACTACTATTAGTAATCAAGTCGTGGCTTCCGATGAAAAAAAGAATAAGTGGAAGAAGACGACACTTAACACCACAGGGAAAAGTCGCCAGAATACGAAAGAGAGTATATTAGCCTTACCCGAAAAGCGGTTGGAAAATGAAACGAATGTAAATGTGCCAACGGAAGAAGTGGAAGTAATGGGGCAGATGACGCCCAATCTTAATAATTCCCAGACAGTGTTCTCATTTCCTGAGCCTAACTTAGAGGGATTATCAGTTAGCGCAAAGACATATGGCTATGGACCCAGGGTGGAATTAGCTGCCACCGCGAATTCCCATGTCAACAGAGTCAAGAACCGAGCTGAGGAAGCCTCTAATTCATGGGGGTCAAGCTCTCCACAGAGCCCTCGGATGGGAGGTATTGTTGATAGATCCCAGTGTGCAACTATTCACGATGCCTTAACAGGATCCGCGGACGAACTTCACGGGGACATAAATACCAATATGGCAGCCCCTTCCTCTTCTCCAGTCCACTTCGACGAGTCAATAAGGCCAGCCAACGACGTCCAAATCGCAGAAAACAGAGGAATTCTTAACAAGGACCACTGTGTCATAATTCAGGGCCTCGCAGAGTCCTCCGCCAGTTCCCCCAGGGAACGAATCGCTGCTGACTTAGAACAATTCCAGAAACTCCTCAATGAAATGCTGCAACCAACAGAAGATGTCACAGTCCTAAAGGCGTTTCGTCTTGGTAGCCGTACAAATGCCGCTCCGAAGACGCGACCACGACCCCTAAAAATCGTTCTTGGTAGCAATGAGCAGGCGAAACTAATACTTTCCAGGCGTTTTCGATTGAAGCATTCCCATAAAGGAGTGTTTTTTCAGCCGGACTACTCACCTGCCGAGAGAATGAAACGCCGCGAACTTGTCCTAGAATTGAGAACACGGCAAACCAACGGAGAGAAAAACTTGACAATCTACAAAGACCGGATTGTCAAACGACATTCCGCTCCCCTCTGGATCAAGCCGATCCGAATGACTGCACAGCTACCCCAGTAGCCCGTGTCGGGTTTGAAAACAAATCTCGCATGAACTCGAAACTCATATTCATGTATACCAACGCGCAAAGTGTACTTTTAAAACTAGACGAACTCCGTATCCATACCTACGACCTCCATCCAGATGTTATCTCAATAACCGAAACATGGTTGTCCGAACAGGTTGATGATAGAGAGCTCATGCTCCCTGGATTTCAACTGTTCCGCCGAGACAGAGAAAACAGAAGGGGTGGAGGCATAATAACATTTGTTAAGAACGGCTTGCACGTTTCAGAAAAAACTGCCCAACTGACTTGTAGTACCGAAGCATTATGGCTGACCATAAGGGCACCGGGCTCTCAAAGTCTCGATATCTTGACAGTATATCGCCCCCCGAGAAATGACCCTGACGCTGATGCCCAACTGCTGGAGGAGCTCAGATTATTTTCAACGCGGCCGACCACTCTCATCGTTGGAGATTTTAATGCACCTCACATCGACTGGAGCTCGGCCTCAGCCAACTGCTCTGAAGCAGCATTTGACCAGCAGCTACTGCGTACCTCCGACAACCTGCTTCTCACACAACACGTAATGTTTCCAACTAGAGTTCACGAGAGCCAACAGATGAACTGCCTCGATCTTGTGTTCACCAAGTCGTCTGACAACATCGACGTTGTGAATTGCCTTCCCCCGTTGGGTCAGAGTGACCATGTAGTTCTCATGTGGGAATACACATTATTCTCCTTTCCTGCACAACCGCTCGATTCCCGACCCAATTTTTGGCGCGGCGATTTCGAACAGATGAAAAAGGATCTTAGTCCTATCGACTGGGCATCCACTCTCTCCGGCGATGTCGAAGAGGCTTGGTGTCAGTTCAAAGAGTTAGTCCACAACCTCATCTCCAACCACTGTCCAATCATGCGCAGAAAACTAACAAATAGACCTCGCTGGTTGACTCCGTCGTTAAAGAAGGAAGTTAACAAGAAGAGGAAGCTATGGAAAAGATCGCTGACGGATCGCACGCCAGAATCCCTAAGCAGTTATAAGTTACAGAGAAATCGGGTCAAAATTCTCATCGCCAGAGATAGGAAAGCTTTTGAAAAGAATCTTTTGAACCGTGCCATGATTAATCCAAAAATCCTTTACAGCTACATAAGACAGAGCACACGGAACAAAGATCCTGTCCCACTGCTGCGAACGGTTGAGGGTGTGGAAATCTCCGATGAAAAGGATAAGGCTGAACATCTCTCTCAGTTCTTCCGGTCAGTCGTGACAAGTGAACCTGCTTTTTCCTCACCCACTTATGAAGACGATGGAACGCCTACCCTCGAAGCCGTCTTCTTCACCGAAACAATTGTTCGGAATGAGTTACTAAACCTAAAAGAATCGACCTCCCCAGGCCCTGATGCAATCCCGGCCAAGCTGCTGAAGGAACTAGCTTCCGAAATGTCCAAGCCGTTAGTCTTGATCTTTCAAACGTCATTTGTTACTGGATGCCTGCCCTCTGACTGGAAGTCCGCTACCATCACTCCGCTTTTTAAGGGTGGAAGTTGTGCGTCGGCGAATAAATACAGGCCAGTGAGTCTTACCTCCATCTGATGCAAAATCATGGAAAAGATCATTAAGGAGGCCTTGGTGCAGTTCCTCGAGCAGCACCAGCTCCTGTCCGACGCCCAACACGGCTTTCGAAGTGGTAGGTCCTGCCTCACGAATCTGCTCTTTACGCTCGAACGCTGGACCAAAGCACGTGATGAAGGCACGCCATCTACATCGACTTCAAAAAGGCTTTCGACAGCGTTCCTCATCAACGTCTCTTGTACAAACTGCGCAACGCTGGAAGTTGTGGACGCCTTCTTGTATGGATCCAGAGCTTTTTGGCTGGACGGTCCCAGAGAGTGCAGGTCGGGCGTCAACAGTCCTCAGATGTAAGCGTGGTGAGTGGCGTCCCACAGGGCTCAGTCTTAGGTCCCACGTTATTCCTCGTTTTCGTAAATGACTGCGTCAAGGACCTAGACTGTGATGCCATCCTGTTTGCCGACGACATAAAATTGTGGAAAGTTATTCACGATGCGGCAGACGCAGACCACCTGCAAGCAAACTTGAACAGGCTCGAAGACTGGTCGAAGCGCTGGCTTATGCCCTTCAATATAAGCAAGTGCAACTTTCTTCAACTAGGCAGCTTCAGAGCCTCCAGCCCCAGGACCTACTTTCTAAACGGCACACCACTGCAACAGGTTGACAGTCAGAAGGACCTGGGTGTATGGATTACATCTTCACTCAAACCAACACTGCACTGCGCGAAGGCGGCTAAATCGGCTACGGCCACATTGCAACTCATTAGGCGAGCATTTATGGGATTTGACCCTGACTGCTTTTCCAAAATATTTGGCACCTTCGTGCGACCTCATCTAGAATACGCCATACAGGCGTGGAGACCCTGGACTGCCAAGGATTATACCGTCTTGGAGAAGGTCCAGAGACGGGCGACCAAAATGACACAAGGTCTGGGAGCACTGCCCTATGAAACCAGACTGTCAATCCTCAACCTGTTTCCCCTTTCCTACAGGCAATTACGTGGTGACCTTATACTAACATTTCGCATCATCAACGGCCTAGACTGTTGTTTAGATCCCACTGATTATTTCACCCAAGCTAACACGCCCAATTTGCGCGGTCATCCCTAAAACTACGCGCAGGGAAATCAAGAACCAATGAACGAAAGTCCTTTTTCAGTAACAGAGTGGTTGCAGCCTGGAATGCCCTACCTACCGATGTTGTAACCTCCTCCTGTGTGAACTCCTTCAAGTGTAGACTTGACCTACAGCAAGCTTCCCAATTACCACCCCCACATCCACACACATAACCCGGTACCATCTTATATGTGTTTATACTACTCGTAATTAGTGAGTAACCATTAATGATTACTCTTTGTCGACTAGCTGCCAGCTGTCCGCGAGTATGTACAAAATCCCTTTTTCACCTTCCCATTTATCAATGTTTTTCTCCGACGACTTGTAACCAAGAGGGAATTCAAAGGCGCTTGCCTATATTTACCTTAATAAACTGATACTGATACTGAAGTGCAATAACCTCCCGGTACCATATTCAGTACTGAGACATCCTGAGAGCAGGGAAGTTAGTCACGCTGGCGCTCAACTATTCTGTTAAAAGCGGAACAAATTTCCGAGTAAGCATCACTTCGACACCAAACACGGATGATGAAATTGCAGCAATTAACGACTCGGACGCGGACTTACAGGCCATCATCGCCTTACTTACGACAGTAATCACGAGAGATGGTAATTATAATACGCATGCGGCCCCAGGGCGGCTACGTACTATAACTACTTCAGTCTTTGTGCCTTCACTACCTTTAACTTCCTCCGTCACTGATGATGGGTCGGAGGGAGAATTCGAAACGTCAAGCCAACAAACTTCTTGTTCCAGTGATCGCATCTTCTCATTCTTATTCTTCTTCTTCCGCTTCTTCTTTTTGTTCTTCCTCTTCTTCTTCTTGTTCTTCTTTTCATCTTCTTCTTCTTCTTCTTCTTCTTCTTCTTCGGAGCTGCTTTCTGGAACTCGCATGTTCGCTTCTATAATCTGTGCATGATAGTACACTACGCTGGGGCACGCTATGCCCTGACTGAATTAAAGGCAAGCATATACATTACAATATTTATGCTGTCAACGGCTTACGGACTGACTCCAGCCTGTCAGTAAAATGGGCCTCGAATAAATGAGCGTATCGCATGTGATAGATCTGGACCCGCCCGAGGGACTCCCTGGTTCTCGGATCCTTACAGTCGTTTGCTCCGTATCTTCTTCCCCATTCTTTTTCTATCGCGGCTTGAAGTGACCTAAGTAGTCTAATTCAACCGCCGTATACTCTTTATCTACAGTAGATATGCTAACTCATGAAATATCAACCAAAATTTAGAAATGCGTTCTCGTTTCGAAAAGATAAATTAAGTACTCTTGTAAAACTAATCATGATGCAGCATAAATCTACAATGATCCAATTACCGCAGGGTGTCGGCTTTCGAAGGAACTTATTTTCGGCTGCATGCAAGATGTATACTCTGCAAAAAATGACTACGTAAGTAGTATGCAATTTTCTCATTGATTTTCGATGCCTTTGAAAATTCAATTATATTTCATCAAAAACATGCATAAAATATTCATTATTTTACATATTCGGTAGAAAATAACGTCTTCTTCCAATTTCATACTGAAAAGAAGAGTATAATTCGGTTTTAAAAATGTTTCCAATTGTGAGATTTTTTAATACCGCTAAATGGCCGTTCATGAAACGTCATGCATCTGCATTTGCGAATGTGGCTTGTAAAGTTAACAATATTGCTCAAATCCACTGCTTAATTTTATGAACCTCATATAGTCACCTCTTAACACCGTAGAGAAATGCATGGTTTTCCGTACACGGAAAATATACAACTTGCAGTTTTGAAACCTTGAATGCAAGTGTAACAGCAAATCGGGTTCAAAATTATTCGGGAATTAGAAACGTTTTTTAAAACCGAATTAAACTCTTCTTTTGAGTATGAAATTGGAAGAAGACGTGGTTTTCTACCGAATATGTAAAATAATGAATATTTTATGCATGTTTTTGATGAAATATAATTGAATTTTCAAAGGCATCGAAAATCAATGAGAAAATTGCATACTACTTACGTAGTCATTTTTTGCAGAGTATAGATCTTGCATGCAGCCGAAAATAAGTTCTTTCGAAAGCCGACACACTGTGGTAACTGGATCATTGTAGATTTATGCTGTATCATGATTAGTTTTACAAGAGTACTTAATTTATCTTTTCGAAACGAGAACGCATTTCGAAATTTCGGTTGGCATTTCATGAGTTAGCACATCTAATACATGTTATTAAATGCTTTGATTGGACCCCGACGGGTCTTTAATGAAAAATCGTTATGTTATTAAAGTGAAGGTAATACATGAATAAGGGTCGTGAGCTGTTTCCGTACCAATAAGTCCTGTCGTTTATGTTCGCTTGACGGTAACTAATTTTTTTGAATATTTCTGCTATATCCGAGAAAAAGTTAATACAGTGTTTCAACATGGCATTCAGAGATGAAAGAATGTAGATATTAATCGGGACGGTGACCGAATGAGATGAATATGCCGAAGGTCTGTTGACATGCATTTAACTGAATCGTCTAAGGGTGAAATTTTGATACTTACCGAGTCATTGTTTGCGGATCTGGCAGAGAAGGGGAGTAGTCAGGATCAAAAACAAGGAAGGGATTTTATGCATCGTGATTGTCCTAAGAGGCATTCAATTGTCAAATGGATGCATGTGAGACTGCAGGATTTTAGTGCGATTGAATGTCAATACCTGATGAGTGATCATTTTATCCAATACTCTTTCCATATTCTCCTATCTCTAATTACTGGCAGCTTTATAAGCCTCTATTTGTGCCTGGTTGTCTTCGAACACGTAGGTGGATGTCGGGTATAGCAACGACCGTGGAAGATAGGGAAGATGTGTCTGGGCTTAAAGCTAGTTCCTTCGTTGACACATGGGGGCAGTTTTTCGCACTAAGTGTGGCTAAATAAAAGACGTCTTATTTGAAAACAAATGGAAGAAATGGGGGCCGGCTTGTGCCGGGAGTCGAACCTTGATAGACTGCTTGGAAGGTAGCAGTAGCTCGACTGAAATGGGCTTCGGCTGATAACGAAAATTGTGCTTGCGCTCCGCGCTCTTTGTTTTCATGTATATTTCAAAAATACGCTAAAGTTAGAATTCGAAACATCGCGAAAGTGCTTTCCGTGATCGCCTCAATTTTCATGCTGAATATACACGGAATAACATAATCAACATATACGAGTTAGACTGAAATGAACTTTTATGGCTTGCTAGCTGGCACTAACCAGCCATACCCAACCCCAATGTATGAAATCCTCCGGACTCGTACTCGGGACCTGCTGGAAAGAAGCTCAGTACCCTAACTAGTGACCCGCAGTCTTGTTACCTCTTCGATTGTGATGGACATTCCAGTCATCCTTGTCTTTGCTGGTTATGTTATTCTGCATTAATAGTTTGCTTCACAGAAACTGCACTGAATCCGATACTCGCCTCGTAGCAAAGGAGTTTTTGGACTCATGCCCAGATATCTTATTATTAACTCGGGTCTATGGGCGATCGCAATACCCGATGGTTGCATAAGACAGGCATTTGTCTCTGATACGTGCACAATATATGGCAGCGATTGCCAGAATTTCGGTGGATTTGCCGTTCACTTTATGGTTGAAACGGACAGCCTGTTGCGTGCTATAAAGTTGCGTTAGGGTGACCGGCGGAAGTGAAAATTCATTAAAGATAGTGGAGTTCAGCTATTTTGTTAGCGGAATTATAGCTTTTATGTGAAGGGAAATCTCTCCATCTTGCAAATTTGAATGACGAAAGTAGACTTGAGCAAGATCAAGTCTGATCGTGTGACGCTTGCTTTCAAATGAGGCAGTGTCAAATTCCATCGTCTTTTATGCTAAATATTATATTATTGGCAGGTTTCTTTCTTCTCTGAAACGGCCAGCAAACAAGATCCCTATTTTGCATGTTAAGAGAC